AGAAGCCGCGACTGTCAGCTTAATGTGACCACAAAATTCACAGCTGATACTGAGCTGGCTCAGCCTGGATTGGTGAACCGGTGATGCTGGTGCCAGCTGCTGATCACTAGCGGCTGGCAAACAGCCTAGTGTGACCCGTGCTTTAGACATGAAAAGTGGAAAATAATCGAGTTTATGGATTTTCATGTTTTTCGGAAATTGACGTACAAAGTTATTGTATCATCTAATTTTAATTGTTGACGCGATGTCTGAAATTAAGTGAAATACTAGAAGTAAATCAATCAGTGCTTTAATTTTCCCACTTTTGTTTTGCATTAAATTAAGAGTCTAACTACCGTCACTATTTTAATACCATTAGGCCTGCACCCCGTGTACCAGTATGCCCCATTTGTTCCTCCGCAAGACCGTCTTTAAAATGACTTTAGTTGTAAAAATTGGTTAAGAATGACAGACAAAAGGAAGATGTTACGGAGAAAACCTTCATTGTATTAAGTACTAGCAGTCATACCCGTCCTTCGTACGGGGTTGGCATATAAGTATAAAATGATTATTCCAGTTATACTCAAGCTTTGCGTTTGCAATGGGGGAAGACACAGTTTGATAAAATTTGCTTCTTTAAATTTACAGTATACTATAGTATGACACATCTACAATAGTCATAATGTTCTACCACTTCACCTAAACAATAGAGAAAAACAAATTTAAAAAATTTGCTAAATATCACAAATTATTCATGAAATAAAAAAATAAACATAACTGTAAACAATCCTACTTTGACAGTCCTCATTGCTTACCACAGTTTTTTGCTGCTGCTTAGTTCAAATTAGCTGTTTTCATAAATGATAAAAAAATAATAGTGCTGCACCCTGTTGGTAAATCTTATAACTTTTAATGCTTTTGCAAATCATAGAACCAACTTTTTCAGTTGAAACAGCTGACTAAATTCTTTAATTCCCTTTAAATATGAATACTCATAAGGTTAACATGGGGAACTTCAGAGCCACTGGGGCGGAGCCCGAAAGGATTTTTGAGATAAGAATATGCCTATATGTTAATCGGGAATGTGATCTATCATCATGCCAAATTTCAGCCCAATCCATCCAGTAGTTAATGCGTGATTGAACTTCAAACAAACAAACAAACAAACAAATAAACAAACAAACACACAAACTTTCACATTTATAATATTAGTAAGATAAGATATAGATAGGCAATGTAGTGTTGACCGCATTGATAAGATAATGCAAGGTGGCCGAACTCGCATCAGTAATTTCTGGCTTATCAGTCCAACACGTGACATTTCCCCATAATCCACTTGCTAGGGGGGTTCCTGTGTGCATTTTATGTATAGAAAAACACCCTAAGGGATCATGTATGTACTATGTGGGTTATCATTTTTCACGTGGGTGCCAGCTTGGCAGAGTGGGCATAACCTCAGAATCCGCCATTTTAAAAATGGCGGCGGCATTTATTACATGAAACTCATCGGGAGCTTATATCTCGAAAACGGTAATATATAGCGAGTTACTTTTATTACAATAAATATTGCTTACACAATAAGGAACAACTTTTGTATTTACAAAAATGCCCTAAATATAACTATTTAGGAGTAGTTGAGCAATTTATGCTAATTTAACCTATACATTTTTACTTTGTTTGACAAAAAATTATAATATCTAAAAAAAAACTGTTCTTTTTAATTTGGCACATAGCACATATTGCTCTTTACATCTAAGGTCGAAATACCCCGCCGCAGCAAACCTGCAGAATCAGCAAACATTTACGTGGCTGCATTTCTACTAAAATATTAAAATTGACAGATTGATTTCCTATTGACATTTATTTGTAATGAGTACTTAAGTTTGCTGCTTCAGGGAAGGTATTGAGGTGTTTTTTTATATATATTTGTATTGAAATGTTGATAGCTTAGTATGAATGAAACAACATTTTCAAATTTGATTTTAATATATCCATAAACAAGAAAACTAAAACAGTTTATTTATTCTTCATAAGAATAGCATGGGAATTTTAAATTATTTTTTTTTATTATCTCCGTATCTTTTGGGCATACTACAACACTTCAATATACAAAATTATTTCTTTTTTTGAGCTCTACAAAATAATTTGGTTCATTAAAAAATTTCGTGTTTTTAGGGTCGAAAAGCGGAAAAATATATTTTTACCCCATAAAACTCCCCATAAATCCCCGTTCCCATAGTCCGATCGTGCTTGTTTAATAGTCCGAACTCGTCTGAAAACGTAGGTTTACACGTTTGTGAAAAATTTCATTAAAATTGGATAATTTTTGCTCAAGTTATCAAATTAAGTCGTAGTTCTATCTTCGGATACAGATGTCGTAGTGTTGGCTTTACACTTTGTGAATGGATTCTCTTCGGAAGGTTTGCAGGAATTGTGGATGCGACTTGGTTCAGCCAGAACTTCATGATATGTACTAGTTCACATTGTAGCAAACAGGCTTGGAAGTAACCTTTGCTCAGTTCTCCCAGCACTCCATATTTTAACGGGCTGTGACTTTGCCAGCAAATTTGGAACAAAGCGTGCTACCCTAAAATGTAATCCAAGTACTTTGCTAATGTACTTAGGAAAAGATGGGGAGGTAGAGATAGAATAAAGTTTGAAAAACACAGAGAAGTATCTAGTTCACATTAAAAAAAGGATACTCAGTGTGAAACTATGAATGATCTAAGACACTGGATGTACACTGTCACTGTACAACGAATACTCTTAAAGAACTGCATCTGTTGCTCGTGAAGAAATTCTGTCTAGTAGAGCTACTAGACATCATATCTTACGTGATTTTTATTGTACATACTTCCAAATTCATTTCTTGGAAGAACACTTTTTCAACTCGATCCTTTGAGTTTTGGATACAGTGGTGGTGGTTACTCTTTGTTGGTTTTTGGGCCAAAATTTGATTTCCAGCTTTGCCCAACTCAAGTGATCTAGAATGCTGCAACTGCAAAACCTGTCCCAATCAAAGCTGCACATGTGTACAAAACTAGCTGGCATACCGTGTTGCCCTTTTTTAAATGTAGAAGTGTTTTAAATGTTGTTGACTGCCGCAATGCACACTAGTATATTGTGAACAGTTTCATTTTTCTGATGACTATAAAAGGGAACAGATCTAATTCCTCTTAACCCAAAAGGCTTATAATTTAGATCCAATAACTGCGCTTAAATTTTATGATCCACGAAACTAGTTCAATATCAATACTGTACAATCAGTCCGAAGCAGCCTACCACCAAGGACAATAAGGTACTGCTTGTGTTAACAAGACGTCAATGCTTGGTCTATGCACCAACTTTGCCGCCGGTCCCGTTCCCGCTCCATCCGCCGCTTATAATAAATGTTATGAATAATAATAATAAAAACTGTTACATCCGTAGATTTATTATTATTTGTAATAATAAAAATTCATTATATAGAAAGGTCTATATTTTTTCATATTTATTTGTATGCGTCATGTAATAACAAAAAATTAATATAAAAATATTTTATATTATTTTAATAACTTATATATCTGTCAGGAGCTTCTCGAATGTTTTTTGCAGGTTTTTTACCTTAAATGCGAAGAAGGATTTGTGCTATGTACCATATTACAAAATAACAGCTTTTTTATAATTATTAGTTTTTTTTTGGCAACAGAGATAAAATTTATAGGTTAAATATGACAATTTTAATATTTTAGTAGAAATGCAGCCACGTAAATGTTTGCTTAGTCTGCAGGTTTGCTTCGGTGGGGGTATTTTGACCTTAAATGTAAAGAGCAATAAGTGCTATGTGAAAAATTAAAAAGAACTTTTTTTTTTAAGATATTAGAATTTTTTGCCAAACAAAGTAAAAATGTATAGGTTAAATTAGCATAAATTGCTCAACTACTCCTAAATAGTTATATTTAGGGCATTTTTGTAAATACAAAAGTTGTTCCTTATTGTGTAAGCAACATTTATTGTAATAAAAGTAAATCGCTATATATTACCGTTTTCGAGATATAAGCTCCCGATGAGTTTCATGTAATAAATGCCGCCGCCATTTTTAAAATGGCGGATTCTGAGGTTATGCCCACTCTGCCAAGCTGGCACCCACGTGAAAAATGATAACCCACATAGTACCTACATGATCCCTTAGGGTGTTTTTCTATACATAAAATGCACACGGGAACACCCCTAGCAAGTGGATTACCACCATCGAAGGGAGTTTATGGTTTATCTAACATTGTGTTTACAATAAAAAGAGCTTACATATAGAGCTGTTGTTGGGGCATTGCTACTATTTCAAACAATATTATTCAACAAAATGTTATATTGAACTACACAACCGTTGGAAAAAGAGTGATTCCATTCCTATCCTACATAAGATGTTAATTTAAACTGAAACCCTCAAGAATACAATAACTCAAATCGTTTGTAAGAAAAAATGAAAACCCTTTTTACCCAACCTCAAATTACGGACATGATTACTTTAACAGTAATCATAGCATTAGGATGTAAACAGACGCCATTTTCAGTTATCAATTGACGCAAATGCATATCTTCTTTTGTTAATGCACCTTATTTTGTTTTTCATCATGTTTAAGTGTGTCATTAGTCGATTTTGAAGGAAAAGCCGTTTTTTTTTTTGCTGTAAAGATATTGTGTTTGATCAATGCCGAGGCCCCATTAGGAAAACAAACCATGCTGCAGGATCCATGACGTAACACTAGTGGATAGATTCACTGCCATATGCCATATTTTTTATTTAGGTAAATAAAACTGGCCGTTTGTCAGATATTTTACGGTAAGTTTTTAGTTCAACTATCCACTACTGTGATGTAGTTTTGTGCTGCCCGCGCTGCAGCATGGCCTGTTGTTCTAGTGGGTCCTTCAATAAAAATGTGAAGTTGGTCGAATAACCGAGTATATCTGGATTCAGAAGTGAGCACATCAACCTCCGTCTACTTGCACTTCTCATGTTTGACAGACTAACCCTTGTGTTGCAGGTATGGGAGGGAGTCTCGCGGTGGAAGAGATCTCCAGTACAGACCCAAGGCACCCCCAGCTGTCCGGGCGACTGTCAGCGAGTTCTCCAGCGGACTGGAGCCTATGAAGAAGAAAAAGAAGAGAACTCCAGATTGATCCTACTGCAAGAATACGTACACTGCAAATGCAATCGCATCATGTAAATACGGGTGTGCATATTTAATGTTTGAAATAGTTATGTTTTTAAAGTAGTTGTTTTAATTTCCCCACCTTTCTACCTATTCTTAAGTATAGATTATGAGACAGTGCCGATGTACTAGTATGCACTATGCAGAATAATGTGATCGATTAAAATTTACATCAAAATACATTATACACTCATAAATACAACACAACCACAAACTCAACGTTCAGCCACTTGTTTTCGGTGTTCCGCGCACGAGTAGGCTAAATCAACTGTACATGGTTCTAAATTTAAGAAAATAGTCCCGATTAACCCAGTTAGCATAGTTATTAAAAACTGTTTTGTTTATCATCGTAAAAAATATACTTTGGATATATTTCACTACAATATCGACATTTAGTTAAATTTAAATATAAAGACTACTTATTTCAGATTTAAAATTTAGTTGGACAATAGATGTCGCACAACGGTCGTAAACTGTAGAAAAATAGGATAGAAACCATATTTTGGAACTTATTCGTTTAAGGTAATGTGCGAAACTTACTTTTTGTAAAAATATAGTTTTATCACACGGGCAAAATCTCTTCTCGACCTTCACGCTCATTTTCCCAAACTAAAAATCTTGTCGAAATGTGTGACATTATGGACTTTAGTGATGAAATATACCATTTTCCGACAGTTACCTGACAAAGCAGGCTTACTTGTACTGATTATAGCACGCAAAAAAGGTAATTGCTGTATTTACTTACTTTTGCAACACTCCAGTATTCCAACCAAACCACAAGAAACTTTTACTCGGCTTTTATAAGGTATGTAATATGTGTACGCTTCAAAGTCAGTTGGCAACACTTAAAGATACTACGTCTACGATCAGCTGGTACAGCCTTTGACTATTGATACTACGACTTGACCTGTTGTTTTGTGTTAACATTCCATTTTCGCTCAATGCTTGGATTTAACCAACCCTAAACGTGTTGTTTAGTGTTTGAAAGACTATTTATATGCTTTATAGCAACTAGGAAAATTATCATCTGTAATGCGATCGCAAAGTGCCTTTGCTGCACTCGAGAATGAACATCGCGCACTAGTTACACAAATAACTATTTCGTTGTATATAATAGAACAAAACAAAAACATTTTGCAGCAGGAAATGTCAAATCTTTGTACATCCTTGAACAGCCCTAGGATGGGTCGATTATTTGACCTACAGTATTATCCGAGTAAAATGTGTGGATTACCACTGCCTTCATAGTTAATAACGACAATAACCGTCAACTATGTGACGAACACAGCTGACATCTAAGATAACCTTCACCACATCGATGTATTTCACGTCAATAACCAAAGAATGAACTGGTTAAAAGGGATGAATGCGGTCGTAATAGACATGGCTATACACGTAACACACTCCACCCGTGACGCTTTCCCTTGTGATCCCATTTAGAAACTCTAATTCCACCTGTTAATACATATAACTGATCCCAGACGGACACGAAAAGTTATTTGAGTCTAATCTGTCTCGGATTATTACCGATTAGGCCGGGTCCTTTATAATCTCGACAATGAAGTGTTTTTTCCCGCGTAACAATGCTCAGAAGCCTCGGCAGCCCCATGTGCTGTAATCAGCCCCGGTTAATAGTGTTTAATTATCACCAGTGATTGGTCCATTGTACGTCTCGCTATTCTACCAAGGACGGCTTTTGTGTGCGTCCCAGACGATCGATTGTTTTCACGTCTTTAGGCGATGCCTTAACTGGTTTCTCCGATTGTTTTAAGATTGTTGTGATCGACAATTGTTGCTAGATTGATGGAGTGCATTGCTGCGGATACAGATAGCCTGAGGTAGTTGTGTGAAGGAAAAAGCTTGAAGTTGCCTGTAGGGATTTGAAAGGAAGTTGGGAACAGAATCAGAATATTTGTCTCAGAATGTAATAGACAATGTCAAACTACCTTCCATAGCGCTGTAGTGTCAACACAATAGAATGTGAGTCTCAGTAGAAAAAAAAACTAGTTTTTACTGATTTGCATACCACAAAGAAGTTATTAACTTTCAAAAGTTGTACAGATTTTAAACGGAGCAGAGTCGAATTAATTATTGGTTGAAGTACAGCACAATCTCAGTAATCTATTTTACATATTGTGATTGTTACAATTTTGGTGATAGATGTCTCTGGTTTGTTTTTCAAAAACGTTGGTTCGTCGCAAAAACAGAGTTTTAAAAATCAATACTCCTGCACGTCCCAATTAATTTATCTCTAAAAAGTGTTAAGAATATTATTTCGAAGAGATTCAGCTTGTAAAAAAAACAGACGTAGCCTACTGTATTCCATACCATCTAACTTCTGCCTTAAGTTGTGGGCTCCAACCACTAAATTTGTTGTTAAGTTGCGCGCAGCAGTTGTAAAAAAGAGTCACTTGAAAATTTGTGATTAACTTTGCAACGTTTGGTGCACAAATCTTAGGTTGAAAAAATACAATTTTTGGATTTCTGAAAAAAATGTTTTTATGTATGATTATGGATACGGGTTAATGGCTGAGTATTCAAACATAAAAATCACCATGAAATGGCATATTCTTCTCGAGAATTCCTGAGAAATCAAACAAAACTTAAAAAATGTATTAGGTTAGAAATAAAAAACTTAAAAATCTATAATGACGGCTTAGCTTATGTTGCTAGTTCTTAAAGTGAATTTACAAACAGCAAACCAGCTTCCAGGTGTCCATTAAAATATTGTTAAGGCCTAAGTTACAAAATATGACTTTTATTTGTGATGAAGCCAAAGACGATTATGAAACAAAGTAGTCCCATACTGCAGGATTGCAGCGTATCAAATAACTTGTTCGTCCGGGGATTTGCAAGCACGCGCAAGTCAGTGGCTGAAGGCTAATCGGGAGATTTGCTTGTGACGCCGAGTGTCCGAGGGGTTTAGTGTGAGGACCTCCCGCGGAGTTACTCGACACCTGATACCATCACAACCCTCGCCTCTCGCTCGATTAGGCTGATCCGATATCTCGCACATACCGGCCACTCACTGACTCCTGCCTTACATCCTCCTGGAGCTGTAACAGAGAATCCTTAAAGGTGACTTACTGACTCCTGCCTAAGATCCATCTGAGTCCTTGAACTATAAGAGATAATCGTACAGGCGACTCACTGACTCCTGCATTACATCCTCCTGAAGCCTAATGCTGCTAGAGAGGATCATACATGAGACTCACTGATTCTTGCCTTACCTCCTTCTGAGTCCTGGAGCTGTAAGAGAGAATCGTACAGGAGCCTCACTTACTCCTGCCTAACATCCTCCTGAACCCTGGAGCTGTAAGAGAGAATCATACAGGCTACTCACTGATTCTTGCATTACCTCCTTCTGAGTCCTGGAACTATAAAAAAGAATCGTACAGGCGTCTCACTTACTGGCCTTGCATCCTTCTGAGTCTTGGGACTACAAGAGAGAATCGTACATGGGCCTCACTGACTCTTGCCACATATCCTTCTGAGTCCTGGAACTATAAGAAAGAATCGTACAGGCGACTCACTTAATCCTGACTTACATCCTCCTGAGTCCTGGAGCTGAATGAAATAATCGTGAAATAACCTCACTGACTCTTGCATTAAATCCTTCTGAGTCCAGGAGCTGTAAGAGAGAATCATACAGGCGACCCACTGACTCCTGACTTACATCCTCCTGAGTCCTGGAGTTTCAGGTGAGGTGGTAAGGATCACGAAGGACGATTAATAAAAGTCCATGATGATGGATTGCCGAATCATGTGTATTTGCACCTTTTATCATATTGAACGGTATTTAACTCTGACTTTGTATCGCATACTCTAGACCAGTGGTCCGTTCTCTTTACTTCCTATACGAAGTTTTTTACTAACGACCCTCATGTTGGTCCTTAAATTAAGAAGTTTTAGTTCCTTCCATTTCGTCGTTCTTAGTTTAAATCTGTTTGCCTTCTCCAATATCTTGTCCTCTTTCTGTTGTACAAGGTCGTTCATTTACTATTACTACCCATCTTTTGAAAGTTCTCCAAATGTCCAAGGATCTTGAAATGTTCTGCTAAAAAGGTCCCGCCTTCTATGATATTGTATTTCCTTTCGCATTCTGTAGTCATTAGACAGGAACTTTGTTTTCACTTTAAGATTCGTATCTGAGTTTTCTTTACTTTAATTACGGTACTTTGAGTTCTTTTGGGCGTCCGTCCATCCAGCCATGGAGTACCACGATCTAAACTGTTTTAGTATGGTTTTAATTTGTTCGACATGATTTTGAAAGATTTATCAACCTTAAAATGATTTAATTACATAACACAACTTAATATATGTCCATTTTAATACAAAATTTAATGTATGGTAAGAAATTTATGATAAACTTTTCAAGCAAATTTTTGTACTTTCTTATTTTGAGAATAGCATTGTATTTTCTGTTCAATGTAAGACGCTAAAATATCGCTCTAGCATTTGGAGTTGTGTTTCTTCGACGTTTGCGTCGTGAAACCAACCAAGTGGAGACGGTCTGATGTGTGTTATGCTATTAGGTGGTTTAAACCTTAGAAGTGCCTCCTACTAAATGGCTATTTGGAATGTTATAATGTCGAATGGTTTGAGAAAACCTTACAATTCTTAGAAAGAATGGCGCAGCAGTCTAGACAAACAAATTGGGTATAATGATTACCGATACCTGACAAAATACGAAGGATCTTAATCCGGGTATTAAATATTTGGACCGTGATGAAAATGCTTGATGGTGTGACCAAGCGAATCTACAGATTGATTGTTTTTCTCTTGACCTCATAAAATGCTGTGCCCGAATAAGAACATGAATATATATTTGCCTTATGGTATGATATTAACCAATGAATTTGTGACAATCAAATATATATTACAATGTCAAATTTGGCATGTTAAAAGCAAGTGTCAGACCAGTGCGCATTGTTCAACAACATACCGATACAAGTGTCATCAAACGTCTTGTTATGCTCGATACAGTAGTGGAGAGGTAGGTAATGTTGACCTATACGTGGTACACCGCAGTCCACCATGTGGTAGGCAGGTGCTGCTTC